GGGGGCTGGGTATACGGGGACCCCTCGCCCGGCGCTGGGATGCGGCTGGCTCTGGGGTGGGGTGCGGGGCTGTTTGGGGCTGGCTCTGACAGGCAGGGATGGAGGCGCCTGCTGCACCTTTTGGAGCAGGGAGGGGGCAGTTCAGCGCCTCGGGGGGAGGTTGGGCCGAGCTGGGGGTGTGACTCCTGACGGAGATCCTGGCATGGGATCCCGGGAGTGGGTGGCATCTCCATGGGGTGGGGAGAGACCCCATTCTCCTGTGCCGGGTTTGCTGGGGTGGGGGAGGCCTACAGGAACCTGGGACTCCTCAGCTGGGGGCACTGCTGTGGGGAAGCTCACAGTGCCGGGCTCCCCGCCCCCCCATCCAGCCCCAAAGCAATTAGACTGCCTTGGCGTCATGCCCTGTGCATTTAAAGAGCCCCCCCGCCCGGCCAGCCCCAATTGTGCACTGCCCTCTGGCTAACCTATACGCTGGAGCGCGCCCCGCCCCCCGCCCCAGGCACTGAGGCCCTTTGTGAGGCCTGGCAGAGCCGGGGCGTGCGAGTCGGGCACCAGGCGTCTCTGCTTGGCGTGACCCCCTGCTGGGACTGGCACTGCCCCCCGGATGGGAACAGAATTCGTCCCTGGTGCCCTAGTGAGGGGCGGGAGGGACCCTATGGATAGTCTGAAGTAGGGGAGGGGGTGGGTGGGTATATGGTCCCTATAGATTTTCAGAGCTGTGGTGGAGGGGCTGGGCCAACGAACCCTATAGATTTCCAGAGCCAGGGGGTTCTTTGTGGGGACCCTATAGATTTTGGTCCCAGAGGAGTTTGGGCCCTGTAGATTGTGGTAACGGGGATGGCTGGGTGTATGGACCCTATGGGGGGAGTTATGGGGGGCGCAGGCGGGGGCTGGGCCGAGACCAGTGTCTCCAAGGCACATTCGGCCCTGTCATGTTAACCTAGGGCCGGAGGAGGGCCAGTAGGGGGCACCCTGCCCTCACAGGCAGCGCTGACCCCGTATACCCAGTCCCAGGCCCCACCCCAGAGGGGCATCTCAGCGCCGGGCGTGGGGTCCCTGTGTACCCAGCCTCCGCGCCCCACCCTAGAGGGCCGCCCGCGTCCCAGCACGGCCTGTGCGAAGAGCCCCGTCTGTCCTGATCAGTCTGTTGGTTTTGTTTCTCACAGGTTTTCATTTGGGCTCTGGGGGCCGGTGAGTGAGTGTGATTGGCGGGGGGTAGGGAGGTGTTGCACGTGGAGCACACGCGTGCGTGTCTGGTGCCCACGCGGGGAGCTGTGTTTGGAATTGCGTGCGGGTGGGCGGTTCCCGGGGTCCGGAGGGAGCTGGTGTGAATGAGTGTGCGAGCGAGTGCTCAGGTGCGGGCCGTTCCCGTGTCAGTGTGCGTGGCCCTGGCCCCCTCCCGCCCGCCATGGAGAAGGTGAAGCCGGAGGAGGGGATGAGCCCCGGGGAGCTCTGCCTGGGGGGGCTGCCGGAGGAGCCCCCCGCCCGCCCGGCCTGGAGCAGCAAGGCTGAATACATCCTGGCGCAGGTCGGCTTCTCCGTGGGGCTCGGCAACGTCTGGCGCTTCCCCTACTTGTGCCACCAGAACGGGGGAGGTGAGTGGGGGCCGCGGAGGGGGCTGGGGGAACAGTGGGGGGGGGAGGTCAAGGGACTGGGGAGCAGGGAAGAGGAGAGGGTCTGAAGGATTGGGGGGGGCCTGGGGGATTGGGGGCAGGAACAGGGCCGGATTAACCTTTTGTGGGCCTGGCTGGCCCTGTACTTCCAGCGTGCCCCTTCCCCTTGGCGGTGGGCCCATACCATGCCACACGCCCCCCTGCTCAACACCGGATCCCCCCCACCCCGATTCCCTATGGCCAGAGCGCCCCTGGACCCGCTATGCCCAGTGCTCCCCCAGACCCTGCCACAAATGCACAGCGCCTTGCACGCCACCACCCTGCCCAGTGCCCTCCTGCCCACAGTCCCACCACAACTGCCCAGCACCCCCCACTCCCTAGTGCCCCAACACACAGAGATCTGCCCCACCCCCTCACAGCCCAGCACCCGCCCCAGGCCCTCCAGAGACGCCCTCCCCCATGCCCTGCCGGGAGGCGACTCTGTCTGCCGGGCTCAGCCGGCAGCGTCCCGGGGTCGGAATCGAGATCGATCAGCCAGGCCAGGGCCTGCCCCGCCCGGGCTCCCTCGGGACCCACTTGCCTGGAGGGGCTCAGCCAAGCCCCCCACACTGTCGCCCCCCACACAGACCTGGCCAGTCCCAGGCGGCTGAGCTCCGGGGAGACATGTGGGGCCCCCCAGGGGGTGGGAAGCAGAGACTGGCCGGAGCCGGAGGGGCACTGGGGTCCGGGCAGAGGGAAGCCGGCGGGTGAGGCCGGGGGTGGAGAGGAGCCAGTGGCTGGCTGGGAGGAGTAAGTGGCGGGCGGGGTGGGGGCAGCCAGCGGGGTCTCGGGGCGCAGGGTGAGCACAGCAGGTCGGGGCCCTTCTGAGCATGGGGCCGGCTCCGTGGCGCCACTGGCACCATTGTAAACCCGGCACTTGACGGGGTGGGGGCCTGGGGTCTCCAGGACTGTGTCTCCAGGGGGGGTTGGGGTCTCTGTGGGCGGCTCCAGACTTGTAACCCCCCCCCCCCCGTCGCTGCCCCACAGGAGCCTTCATCCTCCTCTACCTCCTGATCCTCCTGGTGGTGGGGATCCCCCTCTTCTTCCTGGAGCTGGCGGCCGGGCAGAGCATCCGTCAGGGCAGCATCGGGGTCTGGCAGCACTTCAGCCCCCGCCTGGTCGGCATCGGCTTCGCCAGCTGCGTGGTGAGTGCGGGGGCACTGCTGCGGGGAAGCTCGCAGCACCAACGGGAGAATTCCTGCTGGTTTCTATTGTTCCCGTTTTCCTGCCCCTGGGGGGCCTGGCCCAGTCCCCATGTCCCCGTCCCTTGTCCCACTCTGGGGGGGGGAGGGTGTCCCCGCACCAGGGGAGGGGTCCCCGTGTGCCCAGCCCCCAGGCCAATCTCAGCACCAGGCAAGGGGCCCCTGTGTCCCTGCCCCCAGGGGCCCATCTCAGCACCAGGCAAGGGGCCCCTGTGTCCCTGCCCCCAGGGGCCCATCTCAGCACCAGGCGAGGGGTCCCTGTGTCTCTGACACCCACCCGGGAGCCCATCTCAGCACCGGGCAAGGGGTCCCCGTGTCTCCGACATCCCCCCCAGGGGGCCTGTCCCGGCACCGGGCGAGGGGTCCCCAGCCAGGCTCACCCCTGTCTCCATGCCAGGTCTGCGGGTTCGTTTCTCTCTATTACAACGTGATCATCGCCTGGAGCCTCTTCTACCTCGGTAACTCCTTCCGCGCCACCCTGCCCTGGGCCAGCTGCCCCCTCGGTGCCAACCACAGCCAGCCAGGTAGGTGCTACAGCCTAGCCCCCGCCTGCCACAGGGGGGCGCCACCCTCCCTCTGCTGCCCGGTTCTGACCCGGCTGGGCCGTGGGGGGACGGGCGGGGGGCGCTGCCCGGTTCTGACCCGGCTGGGCTCTCTGTTGGCAGAACCTGAATGTGCCCAGAGCTCCCCCACCACCTACTTCTGGTACCGGAAGGCGCTGGACGTGAGCGAGTCGATCGGTGTCAGCGGGGGGTGAACTGGGCCCTGGCCGGCTGCCTGCTGGGTGCCTGGGTCCTGGTCTGCGGCGCCCTCATCCGGGGCATCAAGTCCTCGGGCAAGGTGAGCTCGGCCCCCCCCCGACCTACTGCCCCCGCTGCCACCCCCCCCGGCCTACTGCCGCCCCCAGCTCCCCCACGGCCTACTGCCCCCGCTGCCCCCCCCTGGCCTACTGCCGCCCCCAGCCCCCCACGGCCTACTGCCCCCGCTGCCCCCCCCGACCTACTGCCGCCCCCAGCTCCCCCGCGGCCCACTGCCCCCGCTGC